TTCTTTGTGTGTAATCCATTTCAACAGAGTTTAAACGTTAAGAAAATAAACACAACATCAAAAAAAACATTTTAAATTATTATCCAGTTTTGACTAAAAGTAAAAATTGGGAATATATGCTCGCAGGAAACATGCTAGGGGTTCCTCCAGCACCAGCATATGCAGATCCCACAACAAGAGGAACCAGAATCCTTAATGGAGTCAATTATGCTTCTGCTTCTTGTGGCATCCTTGACGAAACTGGCCGTCACTACGTACATTACTCTCCCTATACTCATAATATGCTTTCAACTTTCAGTAAATACTTTTTATTTTCATTTTATTATTTAGTGTATACTAAATTAAACAAATTACAACCTCTCCTCAATTTTGAGTTACACACAAATAATCGTCCCAACCTTTAAAACTTAATAATGAATTCACTTAAATTAAATGTTCAACAATGTGAAGAAACCCTAATAATCAATTATACATCCCTTTAAGTTACTAAATTCAGAAGTATCAACCCAGCCAATTAATTATAAAGTACTACCTCTGGTACTTCATATAAGAGTTTATTTAATTTTTATTTTGGTCTTAAATATAAAATCCCAATCCATTTTGTTTCTCATTTTTATCTATTGTTTTAAGATAGTCCTTGTAATAATAGTAATTCTAATCAATTCATTTGATTAGTAAGGATATTTAGAAAAAAAAAAACAATGCCTATTTATTGCAAATGACTAACTGAACTAGTTTCTTAATCTGCTCAAATTAATCAACTAACTCTTATTTTAAGAACCAAAGGTAGTACCTTTTTAAAGATCCAAAGAAACCTTATTATTTTATACTTTAAAGGTGAAATTTTACCCTGATATTAGGTGAACTTAGTATCCCAATCTTTTTAGTGATGCAATTTTACCCGTGACCTTCTGTTGTGCAATTTTACCTGTGATCTTTTTATGTTTATGCACCTGAGAAATAAGATCAATGATAGAACTATAACAACAGAAAATATTATGGGTAAAATTGCACCCAAAAAAATCATGAGTAAAATTACACCTTAAAAATACCGAGATACTAGGTTTACCTGAGAAATAAGATCAGGAATAAAATTACACATTTATCTTTTTTTTATTTTCCAATGCATTAATTAGTGTATATATTATGTGCAGGGTGAGAGGTTTAGCTTGAACCAGCAAGTGTTGAACTTTGAGAACACATTGAATCAAGTGAGAACAATGATTAATGGAACACAATTGAGCCAATACTTAGCCAAATCAATAGCAATTTTGGCGTTTGGAAGCGACGATTATATCAACAACTATCTATTGCCTACATTATACAATTCCAGTTACCTTTATAATCCCCAACAGTTTGGCAACCTTCTTCTTAATAGCTATGCTCGTCAAATTCTGGTAATATTTTTCTTAATGCCTTTTTTTTAATATATATATATATATATATTCAAGTAACATTTTGCATCTCAATATTAGATGCTTCTTGTGATTATTAATATAAGAACAAGATAACTAACTTGAAAATATTAAGAAAATTAGTTAAATTGGCTATTGATAATAAATGTGTGTTGGTTTGCCTAAACTATTCTCTTAAATTATATGCATTGGAACTACCATTTGGTAGAAACCCCTTGATACATACGACCCCTAATTTTTAATATAAAAACTCATTTAATTTTTATTTTGGTTCTAAGTATAATATTCAAATTCACTTTATCTCTCATATTTATCTATTCTTTTCATAGTTTTAATTAATTTACTTGATTAATAAAGATATTTTAGAAAAAGATCAATTATTTGTTATAAATAACTAATTTAACTAATTTTTTATTCTACTCAAATTAGTTAACTAACTCTTATATTAAAAACTAGAGGTAGTACTCCTCCGGTCCTAATTATAAGACCCAATTGACTTATTTGAGGAGATTAAGGAAGTAAGTTAAGTTAGTTATTTATAATAAATAAGTGTTGTCATTCCTAAAATATCCTTGCTAATTAAGTATATTGGCTAAAACTATCATTATTAGAAGGATTATCTTGGAAAAAAATGCATAAATATAAGAAACAAAATGGATTGGGGTCTTATAATTAGGACCAAATAAAAAGTCAAATAGGGTCTTATAATAAGGACCGGAGGAGTACAATCACTAGGGATAGTTTGAAAAACATATTATAAATTTGGGACACAAAGTGAAGTAAGGTCGTATGTTTAGAATTATATTCAACTTCTCAACTAACTCTTATATTAAATGTCTAAGGGAGTAATTATTGAATATTGGTTTAAGGTGCAAACTTGCCCTGAAAATTTTTTTTTTTTTTACTCAAGAGTATTGGGCACCCGAAAGTTTTTTCATATACAAATTTGCTTTAAAAGTTTAAAATTGTGATAATTTTACCTCTTACCATGTAAAATGTTAATAGTCAATGTCATTATTTTAATGGTCAGTATTAATTTTTTAATGGGAATGGACAAAATTATTACAATTTTAAACTTTCAAAACAAATTTGTACCTAAAGAACTTTCTATGTGCCCTGTATTTATAAATAAAAACTGTCGGGTTAAATTTGAATCTTAACTCTTTAATATTTAATACTCCAAACTAATTCAAAGTTTATTAAAGGGTTACGGTGCAAATTTATCTCATAAATTTTCATTCAAGAGCACTTGATACCCAAAAAATTTTTTGGTACAAATCTGTCTTGAAAATTTAAAATTGTAGAATATTTGTCCATAGCTTTAAACTGTTAAAATTTTAACAGTGAGGAGCGAAAATTACTATAATTTTAAACTTTTAAAATAAATTTGTACCTTAACCTTTCATTAAACCCCGAAATGAAGAATAATTGCACTGTTAGCATGGTTTTATCATGTTTCAGTTGAGGAACTTGATATCAAATACAATTGAAAAAACGCCTAAATTATTGAGCGATCACAAGGGAGTTTGGACTTCATCTACTCATTTTCAGAATAAATACGAAAGATACAGTTAAATTAATACAATCCATGATCTGGCCTTCCACTCAAAACTAGATCTAAACTCGAGTGATCACACAGATGCTACGCGGCAATTTATAGACACACACAGACACACACGCACCTCAACAATTGATTCTGTGCAGAGATATTTATAGAAATAGAGTAAAATAAGGATTTATGGGGAGCAATATGATTTGAAGTGCTGGGATTTGCAGGCACTATACAGTTTAGGGCTAAGGAAGTTCTTCATAGCAGGGGTAAAGCCGCTGGGATGCATCCCCAACCAGAGAGCAAGGGCCCTACCTGGAAGGTGTGCAGATGAGGTGAACCAGATGCTTGGGACCTTCAATGAAGGCCTCAGAGCCATGGTTGAGCAGTTCAATAAGAACCACCCTGATGCCATGTTTGCTTACGGCAATACTTACGCTGTATTTGGTGATATCCTCAATAACCCTGCTGCCTACTGTAAGCTTTCTAGTCCCAACTTAAGCAACTTGTTTCTATATTCATTTAGATCCTCTTACATCTAACATATATGAACTCTCTCTCTCTCTCTCTCACACACACACACAGTTTGGTCAAGGCTCACTGCGTCATAGTGTTTCATTTGGTTTCCTTTCTATTCTTTTTCTCAATCTTGTATATCTATGTGCGTGTGCGCATATAATCCCTTAAACAAACTGTCTGTGTATTAATCTTGATTTTCTGAAGTATGAACTCTGTGAAGAGCCTATGAAAGAGACACACAGTAAGTGAAATTTAAAACCCACTCCTTTTCTCTCTACTGCTCCTTCATTTTAGATGCACACCACATGCTTCATATTGTATATGTCCTCCCCGGTGTGTATATAATCCTTTTTTAAACAATTTGTGTGTTTAGATCTTAAGTGTGAAATCTCTCATGTCTCTAAGAGAGTGATAAAATATGTGGGAATATCCGAGACTCGCTTAATTTTACAAAACCACCCCCCCCCCAAAAAAAAAAAAAAAAACCTCGCTACACCCCGCAAACTCCAAGATTCAGGATCCAGAATTGTATGTGCGCACTTAAATTTTCACCCTCTCTCTCAGACGAACACCCACACACACTCTTAGGAGACACTGCAAAATTCAAGCTTCAGGACTCCTCTTCTCACATAAAAGGATGTGATAAACTAACTTGACCGAAATGGTACTATGGCGATGTTGTGCAGCATTCAGTGTGATTGATAGAGGCTGCTGTGGAATTGGAAGGAACCAGGGGCAGATAACATGTCTTCCACTTCAAGTTCCATGCCTGAACAGGGGCCAATATGTGTTTTGGGATGCTTTCCATCCAACACAATCTGCAGCATATGTCCTCTCTTGGAGAGCTGTTAATGGCCCCCCTTCTGATTCTTATCCCATTAATATTCAGCAGATGGCTCTTCTTTAGCTATCTCCTAACTCAGCATAATCTAGCCATAATGTACCAAACTATCTGTACTAGCCGGCTCTATTTCCCTGGCTGAATAAAGCAGTGATATATAATTTACTTCTCTATCACTCATTTCAGTCCCCCCCCCCCCCCCACACACACACAATCATCTCAATAAGAAAGCTAGTTTTTTGGGAATCTGCATGTGATATGCGCGTTGGACAGAATGCAAGACTCTACAATCATTTCACAAAATATCAGTAGCATCTTTATTTTCACGGCCACCATATCTAGATAAACTAGTTACGCTCTGATATGTTTCTTACGAAACGATAAAACTTCAACCCGATAGACTTGTCTGAAAATTAACTAGACTATTAGCCGAGTGCTTTATACAGAATCTGAGATAAATCACATTATTCACATTATTCATAGTTAATGAATAATGCGAGTTCCTATGCACTTGATTATGTATATTAATATTCTACATTACCCAAACACATCAGCAAGAATCAAATACAAAAGATGCTGATTGTGGGAGTATTCTTAATTTAAATAAAAATGCAGCAACCGAGAGGATAAATATGGATTTCTCTTTCAAAGAAAAAAATACTAACAGTAGTTAATGTACTAAAACAGAAATAAATGATGATTTTAGTAATATACCTTCATTAACGAGGAACAACAATACAATTTCCCTCAATCTGCAAGTAAGCAAGGCAGATTAATGGAAAGAGTCCAAAAGATATATGACCTGGAAAATCTTACACGCTAGAGTGCTACAACAGAAGCCTGTGGAGGCCCAGTGAAATTTGAAAGTGACAATAAACAAAATGGCTTCCTATTGGTATTATCCCTATGTATATGATCTTCCTATTAATAGACCAGCTCTGCAAACAAAAGAAGAAACAATGGCAGTCACAAGCCATTTGAACTTGAATAGCAGAACCAATCGTCTATGATGCATCTTCATGATAAAGGTAAAGCCCTAGCCCAAAGCGTGCGCAAGCTCGACGAAAAGCCATGGCTTCTGCTTTCTGTACAGGATCTCCAAAGTTTGTGTCATCTATAGCAGCAGTGCCAGTTGACTCTCTATAAATCTACAGGAAAAGGTGGCATGACAGATGACAAAACAATATCGTAAAGAAGACTAAATAAGACTAAACTCTGCATACTCTGGCCAAAATGTACCAAAACTTGAACTAGCAAACTATATTTCCCTGGCTAAATAAAGTATTGATATATAATGCACTTCTGTGTCACTCATTCCAGTTTCTATAATATGATCACCTTAACAGGTTAGAATTTTAAACTCTCCACTCGTTATGTGTGCATTGGACTGGATAGAAGAGTCTACAGCCATTTCACTGAATAACCACTAGCATCTTTATTTTGACTATCACCAAATCTTGATAAATTAGTTAGGGTCTAACGTGTTTAGTCTTATTTTTACTATTATCTTGCTTTCAATGCTTAATTATGTAGCCTTGTTCCTCTATAAATGGAGCATATCATATCTTCAGTGAGTAAACAAAAAGAGTAAATAAGACCAAAGAGTGAGTTTTAAATAAGGATATTAAAATACATGAAGTTCAAGAGCAAAGATGCAAAAAATAATGCGTACTCGACTCAGGGTTTTGATGTTTACCCATACAAAGTATAAACAACGAATCATGCTGTCCTTGCTTGACATTGGCTAAGTGTTTAAGCAGGACAACTAAGTCAATATGTTTACAAATACCTAGCTCAGTATGTGCATAGTACTCAAGTTTAGCCAACGTTGCAGGCATAGGATCTCATATACTACTTTTTCATAAAATTTTCAGTGTAGAAAGTTGTTATTATGCACGCATTAATGGAACATTTAATAAATGTAAAAATTATTTGATACGCTGAACTAGCCTATCAAGGAATTAGATCCGGCTCATTTTAGCTCAAAATACAAGAATATTGAGTACTTCATGTCCAGGTTCAGTAAACTTCCATCAATTAATATGCTAAATATATCAGAGAATAGATGTAACTATTTCACAGTTCCACTAGTCTTAGTGTAGTGATTTATTCCTTTAAAACCTAAAATTTCATGGCCACCTACATTCTTGCCATCATGAAGAGTTCTTTCTAATCTTCCTCAAGCATTAAAAACAAAACAGGATATCTCGTTGCGTAATTTCATAAGGAAAAAAAAAATTGATACCTCAGCATCAGTCCCATAGAGAGTCACGCGATAAACAACAGAGACAGTCTTGCCATCAGCACTGTAGCTGATGTTTCGAACCTCACCAGACCACTCTATCAGCAATCACAATATTGAAACAGACATCAGGTCGATAGACATTTTAACAAATCAGCTATCCAAAAGAATATCATCACTAAAAGTACAATAAGACTAACTGCTCACCAGTAGCATGTAAGTTCATAATACGGTTCACCACATGCCTGAACAAGAAATTATACAGCAATAGGAAAATAAGTTATTATCAGCATTGAAAACAAACGACGGCGGGGTTTGATTTACTAAAGAAAAACCCAACAGGCCAACATCTCAACACCATTAATAGAGCTGAAAACAAAGGTCATGAACAACAATACCCACATACCAAAGCACAGAATACTAAAATTTAAACCAATATATTTTTCTATTAGTTTCTCGGGAACCAAACAAGGACAGTAAGTAGAGTCGAAAAACAATGGGAATACCAGGGGATGTATTTAACAGGGAACCCATCTTTCTCAACGCGAGTTTTGATTAATGAATCAGGGACTTTCTTGTTTAGCTCCTTAAGTATTTCAGAGAGGGCCCTACTGATTCCAGAAGTAGGAACCACGTCGGCGACGTCGTCGTCACTATTTGCTGCAGCAGCAGAAGTAAAAGAAGATTTGGCATAGGATCGCCAAAAGTCTTGCGGAAGGACCGATTTCGACTTGGAAAACGAAGCAGAAGAAGCAGAGGTTGATGATGAGACCGCACGAGCAAGAGATTTCAGTTTCAGAGAAGAAATCGCCATTTTCGGGTTCACAGTGAAAATTGGTCAAGATGCACATTCCTAGGGGTTTATTAGTCTTACTCTCTGGGGAATTTTAAATTCCCCTTCAGTCCTTTTGCCCTCCCGCCATTTTCATCATGAATGATTGAATGGAATTAAACTTTGGGAGAACTACAGTAAACCCTACTAGACAATTAATATCAACTAACTTATAAAACATTCTTGAAATTTCACTGCATCTAAGGACCAAAGTTTATGGGTGAAATGATAAAATACCCTTATTGTATTTTGAGGTTGTAAATTTCATTATATTTCTTGCAAATTACTCAATTTGAGTTGTAAAATATCAAATTTCGGTTGTGAATCGTTGAATTTGAGCTGTTTATTCACAACAAAACAATTGTATTTGAGAGTTGTGAATTTTCTTATATTTCCTGTAAATTGCTGAATCTGGTTGCAAATTGAGGAATTTTGATTATGAAATGTTGAATTTATAAGTTGTTCATTCATACCAAATCAATTTCATTTGGGAGGCTATAAATTCTCTTATATTTCTTGTAAATCACTAAATTTAGATTGTGAATTTTCAATTTTGGGTTGTTAAGTATTGGATTTGAATTTTTCATTTATCCGTAAAATTTACAAGGGCTAACAACTTGATATTAGGTTTGGTATCGATCAACTAGAAACAAGAAGAGAGCCAAACAGATAATTGACGCAGGACATTAAGAAAAGTTGTCTTTTACAACCGTAACCATAAAGATGCAAGTTTAATCAATCCCTCGATACTATTGAGTATTCTCATGAGAATACAATGATACAAGAAAAGCTCATAGCCTCATACAAGAGACATTAACTCAATTTTTATTCATCTAAATCTAAAATTCAAGTATAAAAAAACGTAGCCTATACATAAGCAACCATAAGACACTAGAATCAGAATTCTAAGATATAAATGCTAGAGATGGTGCCTATTAATGATTATTTGACTATACGAGACACTATTTATTGCATAAAGTAAAAAAGAAAATAACTTAAATTTCATGAACAAGTATGATACCCAAAATAGGAAACTAAATCAGAACATTATCTTCTATTTATTCAAAGCAAATGAAAAGGAAAACTTCCTTAAAGCAAAATTAAATCATAATCAATGAGTAAGGAACCCTTCTTGATGCTTTTGGAAGATTCTTGGACATCAATATGATCCTCCTCCAATGCACATGCACTTCGAAAAAAAAGGCGATTTACCAGTTGTACATTTCTAGCAGTTAAATAAAATCGCTACAAATTCAGAAATTTCTAGCAGTTTTCACACAAATCGTAAGAAATCCGTAGCACTTTAACCAAAAAGCGAGTGGGCCCCACACATTTCTAGCGGTTAAGAGTCAACTGCTAGAAGGTGACCGCCACAACTATTCGCGCATTTTGGCACAAAATTGGCGCCATATTTCCAACATTTCATTTCTAGCGGTTTTGCTACTGGAACTACTAGAGAACACAAATTGTCGTTGCATTTTCTAGCGGTTCTAATGCAACTAACTTTCTAGCGGTTTATGTTGAAACCACTAGAAATTATTTTATTTTTTCCGAGGAGTTGTGACACATGGCTGAATGAAGGTGGTGGTAGAGGGTAACTACTATAAAATTCTAGCGGTTTTATTTAAACTGCTAGAGGTTTCTAGCGATTTTCATGGAGCCCCTAGAAAATCGCAGCCTACATATACCCCCCATCGCGTCATTTTCACTATTTTGGCAAATTTTGAAGCGAAGCTCTGCCAAACTCTCTCCACGAAGTATATCTAGATCCAGATCCAGATCCATATTTTCATGTAAGAATAGAAGTTTATTTATAAATATTTTTGTTTTTATTTTTTATTTTATTTATTTTATTATATTTTTTATATTGAGTTTGATAGACTAGCTTAATTTAGTTAGAGTTAATCAAAAATTTTTTTATAGTGGACTAGTTTTTATAGAGTTAATAGAAATAGTTATTTTTTTAATGAGATAACGGCAAACTTAAATATAGGAATATCTGTTTTTTAATTAATATTATTTGATATTATTATTTAGAGTTAACAGAAATAATTATTATTTGATATAATTGTTTATTTTTAATAATTGTTAGTTGTAAATATATTTTTCATTACAATTGCTATTTGCTATTATTAAGATGAGTCATCGACCAGGGAAGGAGCCGGTTGATCCTGAGAGAGGAGGACCCAACGAGGATCGTAGTGGTGGGGGTCATGATGCTGGTAAGCCATTCCCGAGTATTCATGACTACGATCTGAACGATGAGGATATCCTAAGCTTCATGGAGCATGATGATATCTAGCAGACTAAGGAGCCTCATTTCTCAATGGATGAACAACCCTATGGTGATGCTAGTGAGGAGGAGGAGGAGGAGGAGGAGCAGGTTCAAGGGAATGAGAATCCCATAATGAGCAGCATCCTACTCCTAGACGCCACACCGGTTTGGAAGTAGAATTTGAAGGTAAATATTTATTTAATATTTTTAAATTTGACAACTATTTAATTTATATAGAAATTGTTTTAATTAATTAATATATAATTAATTTCTTAATTAAATTTTGTAGACTCTAAAGGGAACAGGTCCTATAAGAGGCTGACAGCTAGAGAGCTGTCCATGACGACGAGCGGATGGGTGGTTGTGCCGTTGAATGAATTGGGCCCACCGACCAAGAAAGGTGGCCAGCTGTATAATAAATATGTGCGCCTTCTTGGTCAATAGTGGACCATGTTCCCCATTTATATGAAGGATTGGAAAAAAATCACTCTGGAGAAGAAGCAACAAAGTTAGGAAATGATGAAAGTAATATAAAATTATTATTTATAATTTTTTAATTTAAGTAAATGAATATATATTTTGTTTTAAAATTATTTAATTGTTTGATCGTAATTTTTCATTTATTTAATTAATTTGTTATTTATAATATTTTTAAATTAGTTAAATGAATATATATTTTTTATTTAAATTACTTAATTGTTTGAATATAATTTATTATTGATGTAATTTATTTTTATTTATAATATTTTGAAATTATTTAAATGAATATATATTTTTTATTTAAAGTACTTAATTGTTTGATTATAAATTTTTATTTATTTATTTAATTTATTACTTATAATATTTTTAAATTAGTTGAATGAATATATATTTTTATTTAAATTACTTAATTGTTTGATTAGAATTTGTTATTTAATTCATTAATTTATTACTTATAATATTTTTAAATTAGTTGAATGAAAATATATTGGGAAAATGACACTAAAATACCACTTGAATTTCAAAAAGACAAATAAGGCACCTGAATAAGCAAAATGACAAAGAGGGCACTGGATACCAATCTGGAATTCATATTTTCGACCAAAAGACCGAAATACCCTTAAGATGTTTGAAACTTGAGGAGATGGAGAAAAGGCGGAAACCGACTCCTCGGCGAAAACAACACCCCAGTCGATGAAAGAGGAACTGCTTCCACTCAGCGAAAGCAACCCCCCTCCCCCACACTCGGCGAAAGCAACCCCCCACTAAGTGAAACAAGAACTGGAACTACCTCCCCCAGTCGGCGAAAGTAACCCGCCAACCCGACGAGAGCAACCCGCCGAAACAGAAAGTGCCCCCATTCGATGAAACCCAATCGAAGGTCCCCTAGTAACCAAAAAGCGGTCGCCGAAATCACATTGCCACCATCGCTTTCGAATCTAAACAGGTAGGGAACTTGAATATTGTTGTTCATAAAGCATTTTCGATGGGTCCCTGAAGCTTAAAATGTAATTATGCAGTGATGCTCTTTGTGGTTCCGTCTCTGTTGTTCCCATAGAAGTTGCTGTAGGACGAAAAAAGTTGTTTCCATGTTATTGCTAATGTGTTTGGTTGTGTACATATTTGGAAATGATTGTGATTGATAATGTTTAATCCATTTTGGGTGGCCTTTAATTGGAACAGAGGATTGCTTTTGTTGTGGGGATTGGTTTATTTTGATTTGAAGGAAAAGAACAAAATGGAAAGGATAGTTTTGTCGGTGTTATTTGACTTTTCTGAAAAGAGTATAGCTTTCTATGTGGAGAGGGTGGGATTTTAAGGAAGTAGAATTCCACTAATTTGGTCTGCATGCGCAGCAGTGATAAAGTTGCTTTCATTTTCATTGAATAGTTTAGGGTGAAAAGTTTGTCCTTGCGTGGGTAAAATTTGTAAAGGTTATCCTGTTGTAGTAATTTAGCAAGCAGTAATTCTATTAGCCGAGTAGTAAATTTGATGAGGTAAGTAGTAAATAGTACTAGCGGGTTTGGTATTGAAATAACAACTATTGGTCTGAGAAGAACTAAATTTGTGTTGGCAACGATTACATTTGCTAACTTATATGTTAATGAAATTTACAACATTAATTAGAGTAATTGACTACATTCAACAATGGAAAATAATAGATTTGGTATGGGAATGACAACATGTTGTGATGCAAATTCAATTGAATAGACAATGATATTGAGGTGATATAATATTGAAATTTACTACATTAGTCAATGAAAGTAACCAGATTTGTTACGGGAATAACAACATTGGCGTGATGCGAATTTATTTGACTGTGCAATGGTTTTGTAGGTGATGTTAATGAGATTTACTACATTTATTAGTGGAATTTACTACATTAGTCAATGAAAGTGACCAGATTTGTTATGGGAATAACAACATCGCCGTGATGCGAATTCATTTGACTGTGCAATGGTTTTGTAGGTGATGTTAATGAGATTTACTACATTTATTAGTGGAATTTACTACATTATTCAATGAAAGTGACCAGATTTGTTATGGGAATAACAACATTGCCGTGATGCGAATTCATTTGACTGTGCAATGGTTTTGTAGGTGATGTTAATGAGATTTACTACATTATTAGTGGAATTTACTACATTAGTCAATGAAAGTGACCAGATTTGTTACGGGAATAACAACATCGTCGTGATGCAAATTGATTTGACTGTGCAATGGTTTT